CCAATCGGGTTGACAGTGTCACACCTAATGAGACAGCGCTGTCTCTTCAGGACCCCGGCAGGCTCGGTCTTCCTCGGGTCCAGGCTGTAATCACTGCCATCACTGTCACTGTTAGGAGTTAGTATTTGCTCTGTGCTCAGGGCTTTGTTAACCCCTGCTGCTGTGGGGCAGCAGAGCAAAAGATACAGTCTCCTAGAAGACATCCAAAGTTGCTCTTTTGGGCAATCCAGTTGGCTATGGCCTACTACGTCTTCTCTGGTGCTTGGGACTCTGCGCCTAATGCCTGCTTGAATACACTGGATCTTTCCATTTCTCTGCTAAATCTAGAGCAGATGCCCGTGGGCAAGGGAAGGTGGGCTTTGATTGATTGATCTGTCCCCACTGGCAGATCAACAGTTTTCCTTCTGGCTCCAACTCATCCCCTGCTGCCTGGACTTCACATTACACAGGCCTCTTAATATGTGTCCCTCCCACCCCCAGTTATTTTGCTTTTGCAGCATGCATATGTGATACTGTAAAGCTAAATGCATGCAAGCTATCCCATGGGGCTAGCATAGCTGGACTGAATGGGGAGTGGCCAGAAGGCACCTACTGACAAGGACTTCTTCAACATCAATGTACCATGGCCCTGCTGAGAGCTCGGGGGCACGTGGTAATTCTGGTCAGTGTTTCGGGAATGCCCCTAATGTGACACCCCATCAAGAATGGCCTATGGCCGACACACATTGGTTCATGTTGCCCTGTTGGGGGTTGCTTCCCAGATGCTCCCTGATGACACAAGACATTAAATAGAGACTGCTGCACGATCAGTCCATAGTAGAGCAAGATGCCCAGTGGAAACTGCCTCTGGACCATATAGTCCTACACAGGGGCTCAGCACATGCACTTTCACCCCCTCAGCCATCCAGCAAAGACTGTTTGAGTGGAGCCTTTTCTATGCACTAACTGCACACAAGGTCGTCTGGCTCTAAACTACAGTTCTTTCCTGCCATTTCATGGCCAAGCAATTGCCTTCTTTGGCCTATCCCAAACTTTGAGCTTCTAAAGGGCTGTATCAAACGTAAAAAAGGGAGTGAGACCCCTGAGAAATGCATTAATAGCCTCCTACAGTGCAGCACGCTTGGTCCCATGAGAGTAACAACCACTGAAATGAAGTACTCGGGACCAGGCCAGGGCTGGAAATGGTCCAAATCACCATAGCTCCCTGAAGAACATTCAGCCAGGCCAGCTTTCACCAGCTGAGGGCCTGGCCCATCAGTAATGGCAATTTTCCTCCTAATTTGTGTCGAGAAAATCCTGATAGATTCATGCCGTGCTGAACAAAAGGCGTGTGCATGCATGTCAATGGCTTAGATCTTTTAGCTGATTAATTACCAACTGGATTCTATTCCTTTCGCATTTGCAATTAAGAGTCAGAACAGATGGCGAAGGCTTCATTTAAGGATATACGCCCCTTGCAATAATCCGAGTCTCCCTAGGCTACAGCTTCTGCCACGATGAATCAGGACCACAGGGAAAATTATCTTGGACCAGAAGGTTTCTCTGAGGCAAATCATAGTTTCATAGTTTCTAGGGTTGGAAGAGACCTGAG